CTACCGAGGTCTAAGGAAGCGGGATGCCATTCTCGGCCCTCCTCATCCCGTCCGTAATCTGGTCGGGGCCCGCATCGTAGTACCCATGAAATGTGGGTCTATGCGGAGGCTCGGCTTGATATATATAGAGCTTTGCACGCAGAGGGTCGGGCGACGGAGGCGGAGGTTCAGGCTGTGCGAAGAGAAGCGCACACAGATCGTGAATCGTGTGGATACTACCCCGACTCTCCCGATGGGGAGAATGTTGCTTCCGAGGATGTCGATCGCCTTGACTCAGATGCCTGGTATGAGGAAGCTTATCCCACAGGGGGTGGTAGCTAGTTTTAGGCTTGTGTATTTTTGCTTCCGCATCTTTTTTAGCTGTGCAGTGTACTAAAATCCGTCCATGTGGGCGAATGTATATAATTTTTGTTGTAATATAAATTTTGTTTTTGTCGTATCGTCTGTTCATTGTTTCTCCCTTTTGTTGTTTTTGTTTTATACCTAGCCTTCACAGACATCGCCTTTTAGGGTATTTCACCGTGGTTCGAACAAGGTCGAACAATGTCGATGGCCTTAGCCATTAGGACGTTGCCTCGACTGTCGTCGAGGTGAAATCCGTCGTGGTTCGAACGAGGTCGAACAATGTCGATGGCCTTAGCCATTATGATGTTGCTTCGACTGTCGCCAAGGTAACATCCGTCGTGGTTCGAATGAGGTCGAACAATGTCGATGTCCTTAGCCATTAGGATGTTGCTTCGACTGTCGCCGAGGTGACATCCGTCGTGGTTCGAACGAGGTCAAACAATGTCGATGGCCTTAGCCATTAGGACGTTGCCTCGACTGTCGTCGAGGTAACATTCATCGTGGTTCGAACGAGGTCGAACAATGTCGATGGCCTTAGCCATTAGGATGTTACTTCGACTGTCGCCGAGGTAACATCTGTCGTGGCTCGAACGAGGTCGAACAATGTCGATGGCCTTAGCCATTAGGATGTTGCTTCGACTGTCGTTGAGGTAACATCCGTCGTGGTCCGAACGAGGTCGAACAATATCGATGGCCTTAGCCATTAGGATGTTGCTTCGACTGTCGTTGAGGTAACATCCGTCGTGGTCCGAACGAGGTCGAACAATATCGATGGCCTTAGCCATTAGGATGTTGCTTCGACTGTCGTCGAGGTAACATCCGTCGTGGTTCGAACGAGGTCGAACAATGTCGATGGCCTTAGCCATTAGGATGTTGCTTCGACTGTCGTCGAGGTAACATCCGTCGTGGTCCGAACAAGGTCGAACAATGTCAACATTAGGATGTTGCTTCGACTGTCGTCGAGGTAACATCCGTCGTGGTTCGATCGAGGTCGAACAATGTCGATAGCCTTAGCCATTAGGATGTTTCGATGGTGATTCGACTTCTGTCTATATCGTGGAGATTTCTGTTTATACAATGGAGATTGATTTCTATTCATACAATGGAGATTGATCTCTATTCATACAGTGGAGATTCATATGGTGGAGATTCATACGGTGGAGACCTCTGTTTACACAGTGGAGATTTACTGGGGTAGTCCCTTCATTACTTTGGTCCAGAGGCCGTGTTGATGGACCGAGGTGATGAATGCGCTTTCAATCCACAGGCATCTCCTTCGCCGCCTCGTTAAAAACCTCCCCGAGAAAACCCAATTGGGATAAAACTCAGGTGAGGGAAAAAGAGTACGACTTAGGATATGCCTCTCAGAAGTGGAAATATTTGAGGTGAGCGATGTTCCAGTTGTTTTGGAGTGGTTTTCCGTCCATTGTTTCCAGTTGGAACGCTCCCTTGTTTGCGGCTGCTGTGATTTTATACGGTCCGTCCCAATTGGCTCCCAACTTTCCGTTGTTTGGGTCTTTCGATGCCAGCGTTTTCGCCTTGAGGACGTAATCGCCAACTTTGAGCAACCTTACTTTGGCTTTTCTGTTGTAGTATCTTTCTACTTGCTGTTTTTGGGCTATCATTCTTATATGGGCTATATCTCTCCGTTCTTCGACTTCATCTAGGTCTTGTAACCTATTCTCATCGTTACCCGCTCCGTTGTCATGGGAGTATCTCAGGCTTGGCTCCCCGATCTCTACGGGTATGACTGCATCGGTTCCATAGACTAATGAATAGGGCGTTTCTCCCGTGCTGGACTTTGGCGTTGTTCGGTATGCCCATAGTACTTCAGGCAGTAATTCGGGCCATAACCCTTTAGCTTCCTCGAGCTTCTTTTTCAATATGTTCAATATTACTTTGTTGGAGGACTCGGCATGACTGTTGGCGGCTGGGTGGTATGGAGTGGAGAGTATCCGCTTTATCCGCCATTTTTCGAAGAACTCGGTCGTTTTCTTTCCGATAAACTGGGGCCTGTTGTCGCAGCTAATTTCTTTGGGGATGCCGAAACGACATATAACATTTTTCCATATAAAAGTGATGACCTCCTGTTCGCGTATTTGGGCGAATGCACCTGCCTCCACCCATTTGGAGAAATAGTCAGTTAAAACTAAAAGGAAACGTACCTTTCCTCGCCCAGCCTGCAGGGGGCCGATTATGTCCATCCCGCATTTTATGAAGGGCCATGGTCAAGTGACTGAATGGAGGAGTTCTCGCGCTTGATGTATCATGGGGGCGTACTTTTGACACTGCTCGTATCTCTGGACGTAGTCTGCTGCTTCTTTTTTCATAGTGGGCTAGTAATAGCCTGCACAGATGAGGCATCGGACGAGGGCGCGGCTCCCAGTGTGGGCACCGCAATGGCCCTCGCGTACCTCCTCCAATACTTGTATTGTTTGGTGGGGTTCGAGGCATTTAGCGAGGGGGCCGCCAAACGTTCTTTTGTTGAGGTCTTGATTCATCAGGCTGTATCGGGCAGCTTGCACTCGGAGTTTCTTGGCTTCTTTTTTGTCTTGCGGGAGTGTTCCGTTCTGCAGATAGGATACAAAGCGGTTGTGCCAGTCCCAGGTTAAGTTCAAGGGAAATAGCTCGACATGATCTATCGCTAAATGGAGGAGAGTGACCACGTTTCCTTTGTTGATGTTCTTTGTGGCTGCGGCTAGCTTGGCTAGGCCATCTGCTTCAATGTTTTGTGCCCTAGGTATCTGCTCGAGTCGGCATTCATCGAATTCAGGCATCAGTTTGTGGATCTCTGATTGGTACTTCTGTAGTCTTTGTTCTTTAATTTGGAAATTCCCGGTTACTTGATTTACGACGAGTTGAGAGTCGCAGTGGAGGATGAGTCGCCGGGCTCCGTACTTGAGTGCTAACTTCATACCTGCAACCACAACCTCGTACTCGGCCTCGTTGTTAGTCATCTGGGGACATCGTATGGACTGGCGAATTACTTCGCCTGTAGGGACTTCGAGGACGAGTCCCAGTCCTGATCCCGAGGCATTCGAGGCTCCGTCAGTATAGAGGGTCCAAATGTCGGTGAGAGTGGAGGTGCGAAGGGCCTCTTGCTCCGCTTCCGACAGAATTTCCGCACTGAAATCGGCAACAAAGTCGGCGAGTACCTGCGACTTAATGGTAGTTTGCGGGTGATATGTTATGTCATGCTCGCTGAGCTCTATGGCCCATCTGGCGAGACTGCCTGAGAGCTCGGGTTTATGCAGAATGCCCCTTAGGGGAAATGTTGTTATTACTTTTATGGGGTGACACTGAAAGTACGGTCTAAGCTTTCGTAAAGCTACGACTAGTGCCAAAGCCAGTTTTTCAAGGTGTGGATACCTTGTCTCGGCGTCGATTAAGGTCTTGCTGATATAGTAAATGGGGGATTGCGTACCTTTATTTTCGCGGACTAAGACTGCGCTGACGGCGACTTCGGATACCGCTAGGTATACGAGCAGACTCTCGCCTGGGTCTGCCTTGACGAGTAGTGGTGGCGAAGACAGATATGCTTTTAGTTTCCTCAAGGCGGTGATGCACTCTTCGTTCCACTGTAGTCCATGATCCTTTTTCAGTACATTGAAGAACTTGTGGCACCTGTCCGAGGATCGTGAAATGAACCTCGATAGGGCGCTATTCGCCCCGTCAGCTTTTGTACCTGTTTCTTGCTGTTCAGTACCTCAGGTATCGTGTCTATGGCCTTGATCTGGTCCGGGTTGACCTCGATGCCTCGTTGTGATACAAGGAAACCCAGAAATTTTCCTGAGGCCACGCCGAAGGCGCATTTTTCCGGATTCAGTTTCATCCCGTATTGCTTTAATATCTCGAAGGCCTCTTTCAAATGACCGATATGGTCTTCTTTCTTGGCTGATTTCACCAACATGTCGTCGATGTAAACCTCCATTGTCTTGCCGAGCTGTTCTTTGAACATCTTGGTAACTAACCTCTGGTATGTGGCCCCCGCATTCTTGAGTCCGAATGGCATCACCTTATAGCAGTAAGTCCCTTGGTGGGTAATGAAAGTTGTTTTCTCTTGATCCTCCTCGGCCATTAGGATTTGGTTATAGCCGGAGTAGGCGTCCAAGAAACTCAGCAGTTCATGTCCCGCTGTTGCGTCGATCAATTGGTCGATATAGGGCAAGGGAAAGGAATCTTTTGGACACGCCTTGTTCAGATCGGTGAAGTCCATGCACATTCTCCACTTGCCGTTACCATGACCACATTAGCGACCCATTGGGGGTATTTCGATTCTCTGATGGAGCCGTTAGCCAGTAATTTGTCTACTTCTTCACTGACTGCCTCGTTAATTGCGGCATTGAATTTCCTCCTCATCTGCCGTACGGGCGGATAGAGTGGATTGACATTCAGCCTATGAGTGGCGATGTCTTTTGGAACCCCCGGCATATCTGAGTGTGAAAAGGCAAATAAATCGGCATTGTTAGTCAAAAATTCACGATACTCACCTGGCTCGAAGAGATTGTGGCCGATATAAGCCTTTTTGTGTCGTCGGCGTCGTCCAGGTGTACCGTGTCGAGATCTTCGATAGTTGCTTTGCTAGCTTCTACAACGTCGGGCTCTATGATGACTTCTTCTGGCGGGTCAGTTTTAGCTCCCAACGTGGTTGATTGCTATGCTTCCGCGTTAGCCCCTTTTAACTGCTTGGTATGTGTGTAATCTTGGGAAATTCGGTAGCGCTCCTGGGCGGTACGCGGCTCGCCTCGAATGCCAAAAATTCCCCACGGGGTGGGAAACTTGATTACCTGATAGAAGCTTGAGGGGATGGCTCGCATGGCGGGTATCCATGGGCGTCCTATGATGGCATTATAAGCGGTTTCCTGGTCCATGACGTGGAATGTAGTTTCCAGCGTGACTCCCCCAGCTAGGACTGGTAGTGTTATTTCTCCAGATGTCCGCTCTACTGCATTGTTAAAACCCGTTAGTGTTATGCAACGAGGTATTATCCTATCCTCGAGCTTCATTCGCATGAGGACTCTTGGGTGGATAATACACGCGCCGCTTCCGTCGTCTACCATAATTCTTTTTACATCTATATCAGCGATGCGCAATGTTATGACTAAAGCATCGTAATGAGGGAAAGACAAACCGTCGGCATCTAACTTTTCGAAGATGATACTGTCTTTGAAGCCGTCATACCGTTCGTGAGTGATTGTTCACTTCAGCTTATGCGTGGTGGCAAGCTTTACGTGGTTGATCACTAAGTCGTCACCACCGCCGATAATCATTTGTATGGTACGCGCCGGTGACGGTGGCCTGGGTGGTCCTTGAGATGGGTCGCGTCCTCTAGCGAAGTTGGCCTTCCCTTTGTCGCTGAGCAGTTCTTTCAGGTATCCTTGGTTCAACATTCTGACCACCTCCTGTCGTAATCCTATGCAATCCTCGGTCTTGTGTCCTCTTTCCTGATGGAATTCGCAGAGGACATTTGACATTCTCGCATTTGGGTCTGATTTCATCTTTTGTGGCCATTGTACCTTCGTGCCCAGCTTCTCCAGTGCGCATACTATTTCTGAAGGGGAGACATAAAAGTTATGAGCAGATAATAACGGAGGCATACCTTTTTCATTTCGAAGGGGCGCAATATGTCGCGGCACGGCATCTGCGTGCCTCGGGGGAGGTGGATTATGGGTTCTGACATAGAGCTGATACCTTTCTCTGTTGAAGCACGGGAGCTGATCCTTTCTTCTGTCGTTACGTCGATCCCTCCTTACCTCGGATTGTACCAACGTTAGTCGCTGGGTCGGACCGTTGAGATCGTCTTCGTCTGCTCTTACTTCGGCGCAATAGGCATTATGGATTTCTTCCCATGTGGTGGGAGGGTACTTTATGAGTCTGTTGAGTAACTTCTTGGTCGCCTTCGACCTGCTTCTGCTTAATCCGTTCTGCGACCGCCATTCCTTCCGACACATTTGGCAGTCCCATTCTTACACTATTGAACCGGGCTAGGAAGTCTCGAAGCCCCTCGCCCGTCGTTTGTCTGATGGCGAAGATATCGTTGACCCTAGCTTCAGCCTTCTTTGCTCCTGCATGTGCAGTAGCGAACTTATCCGCCTTTCCTCGAACGTTGAAATCGACCGTGCTGGTAGCTGAGAATACCAGGTTAGCGCTCCTCCTGTCAGAGTCTCAGCGAACTTTTTCAACAGCACGGATGGCACTTGCTCTTTCGACAAGTCGTTACCTTTTACCGCAGTGACGTAATGGATCATGTGATCTTCTGGATCCGAGGTTCCGTCATATATTCTCAAGTAGGGCGGCATTTTAAAGGTTTTCGGGGTGGGATGGGGAGCAGCTTCTTCACTGTAAGGCTGCTCGACAAACCTTCCCACATCGCGCTTTGGCAGCAGCTTAGGGGCGCCGGGTATTTTGTCAACCCTTTCCTGGTGTTCCTTCATTTGGTCACGAAGCATCTTGTTCTTGTTTTCCATTTCTTTCACTTTCTTTAGGATGGCTGCGAGTGTACCATCACTTGCATCGGTGGTAGTGCGATTGTTGATTGTTTGTACAGTGCTTGGCTCGCCGGTGACAGCAGCGACTTCCAACGTTGGCGAATCTCCGGTATTTCCTAGAGAGGATTTTTCGAGCATGGTGTTTAGAGCGCTTGTCAACCATTCTTCTAACAGCTTTTTGACTGCTGGTGGTGTTTCGATCACCGTAGATGTCGAAGTTCCTCTTTCGCGCAAGATCGTCAGATCCTCGAGTATAGCGGGTGAGATCTCCCCCTCCAATATACCTCTTGGTGTTATATTCTCGTTGTCTTCTCTACCAGCTTCGTTGAGGGAGTCTAAGAGGTTGTTTGAGACATTCCCTATCGCTTTCAACCTTGCTTCTTTCTCTGCCATCGCTGATTTCTATGGAGTGCGAAGGACAGAGATCGTTTTGTTTGATATCCCAGGTGAGAACTATGATTTCGACTACAGAAATCCCCACAGACGGCGCCAAATTGTTTGACTCAAAAGATGTTAAAATCCTTTTAAGCAAATCAATCACAGAAGTGAAAGGGTAAATCGTAGTCGGAGATAATAATCCCCAGGATCGTTTTACTAATCGGAATAATAACAACAATATATGGATAATAGAGAGGGAGAGATAGAGAGATAAAGATTAGAGAGATAAATATTAGAGAGAGAGTCAGTTCTTTTGTTACAAGTCCCCCTCTATTACAATGTTCGGACCCCCTTTATATAATTGAGGGATTCGAGCTAAACCCTAGGAGTGATCACGTCAGTGTACTTTATAACGGAACTAATAACAAGTCGAGGTTGTCTCCCACCTCACCCCGGGGTCGTTCCCTTGTGTCAAGTCGTAGACATTCGACGATTAGTCACGCAGGTGGTGGGACGTGGTTAGTCAAATTCGACCCCATTCACTTTGATTTCGTTTTCACAATTTATTTTATAGTAATCTTCTTTTTTTATGATGGGAAGCTCGGCCAGCTTGTGAACACATCCATGTCAACTATTCTATTGGGTATCTATATGTCTCTAGAATATATACCTAATTACTTTATTTGCCAAAATCTGAATAAAGGAAAAAAATTCACCTAGTGTTAGTTTAAGTCCATTTCCCCGAATGACGTTATCCATTTAAATTTCATTTTAACCAGTTAAAGATTGGAATTTCGCCTAAGTATGTCAAGTCCTCTTCGGTTTATAAAACTTTACTTAATTTTCATTTGAATTATAAGAAAATTCAACTTGTGGATTTAGTCTCTAAATTTGTAGTAATAGTTTTCAATAGAGGAATTTATGTGCATACGTATCCCTCAAAATAAAGAAAAGCCCAACGATCTAGCCATATAGGTATGAAGATTGTTGTCAACTCTAAACCTAATGCAGTATTTATATAAGCAATAAACAAATAAAAACCGTCTGCGGCGAAAAATAAATTTTCCAGTTGGTAATTCCTTAATAGAAAAAATGAAAAAATATTTTGGCATCTAAAAATAGAAGAGATATTAAAGCTTTATATTTATTGGAATTTCCGCCGCACCAATCATGCCGTATTGCATTGGGCTATCATTATCTCTCTTTCTCAAGTTATTTCTTTCACCAACTCTTTTTTTCCCACATTTTGTTTTCCCTCAAACACTGAGGTAAAGAAGAAATTTATCCCTTTCGTTTTCTGTTCAAACACTCCCTTCTATTTCTCTCTCTCTCTTTTTTTTCCAATTCTTTTCTCTTTGTTCCATGAGAAGAAGAGTGTAAAATCATCTATATTCTTGATAAGATTCTATTGACAAAAGGTTAATTGCAAAATAAATGACAAACTATAATGTCATTGTTTAATTAAAGATACTAAATGTACTATATGGATTTTTAAAAGTATTATGCTACTTTTTAGGAATCTTTAGCCGTATTAGAGATTTGTACACACCACTAAAAGATATAGCGAATTTATGTTTAATACACACACAAACACACACACACACACACACATATATATATATATATATATATATATATATATATATATATATATATATATATATGTATATATATATATATATATATGTATATATATTTTAAAGTTGCATAAGATGAAACGAACTAATGTAATAAACTTAATGAGGATTCATATAGTCGTCCTAACTTGTTTGAGTTTAAAACATAATAATAATAATAATAATAATAATAATAATAATAATAATAATAATAATAATAATAATAATAATAATAATAATAATAATAGTGCTATTGTATTCATATACTCGTGGAGTAAAAAGAAGCATGAAGTCAGTGAGGACTTAGGCAAGGGATCATTTTCAATCAATTAGCGTGGCAAATATCTATTCAAAAAGATCGTAGCTCGAGCTAAAACGTGCACAGTAATTTGGAATTTACATGAACTACACATGATAATTTTAAAAGAGATAATTCGGTAATCTTTTTCAAATAAATTATGATAGCATTACTGATTTTGGAAAATAGACGCAGAACTAGAGATACAAATTTTTAATATCTATAAACGCTTTACGAGATTTACTTACAGAGTGAAGAAAAGAAAAAGATTAACATTATAAGAAAATGTCAAAGAATAAAAAACGAAATTTACTATGCACTTATTTTGTTTGATTTACCATACAATTAAAAAAAAAAGCGAAATCATCACTATGTACTTATTTGTTTGATTTACCATAGGATAACCATAGATCATAGAAATGATGACAACTTTAAATCTATATCTATCTATATCTATCAATACTATATTAAAAGCACGAAGGCCCTTAGCGAAATGTCGTTTGCCTTTTTTACCCTTTAAAAATAGAGTTTACATTAAACAAAAAAGTCTTTTTATTATTTTTTTAATATTTAGGACTTTTAAACCAACTATAATCTTTACTATTAAATCTATTTCCTTATTTAAATTATGTAAGAATTCTAAATATTTAAGAATTTGAAATCAACTAAACTTTTCTATATTAAATTTTTACTTATTCCAACTATGCACAAACACACTTTGGCTTAAGTATTCTCATACCAAATAGAAAATTTTCACTCTTTCTTCTTGAAGGCCGTTTCCATTTGAAATGCTTGGACTAAAATAAATTAAAAGATAAATTAAATATAAAGAATTTATTTAATAACCAATAAAAGAAAGGTAGACATTACTTTTCAATGGAAAGGAACATATTGTACTCCATTTTTTAAATATAATAATCAAGTAACATGATGTCTTATTTATTGAATCCAAACAGACGATATATTATTTTTAATTGTTAATGATTTATTTAAAGTCAATCAAGATATTATCACAATTTGAAGACATGCATACCGAAATTTGTTTTCAACAGTTTTCTTACCTATATGTTAATTAAAATTAAGAAAATAATTTAAGAGGAAGAAGTTTAGCATTTCGATACCAAATATTCAAATGTGATAAAATATTAGAATAATTGCGGTAATTTCTTTCTGATATCTATAACTTTCAAATCAGTAAAATTTTATTTATTATGTCTTTTCGTACT